CCCTTCCACCTCCTGTGTGTGTTTTAATTAAGTTTATCTCTTGGGCTTCGTCTAAACTTAGGCCCAGGTTAGTGTGGCCCTGCAGGGAGGGGGCTGGTACAGTACAGTACAGTACAGTTCAGTTCAGTACAGTACAGTACAGTACAGTACAGTTGGTCTCAGGGTGAGTCACTGCTTTGACTCGTCCCGTGGTCAGTGGACGGAGCAGAGCTCAGCACCACAGTCACACTGAAGTTCAAAAAGTAGAAGTGAAAAAAACTGTGTGTGTGTGTGTGTGTGTGTGTGTCACCACCAACAGTGGAGTCACTCCACTGTAACTGCTCTGTGGTGAGGTGACTCAAACCTGGGTTTGCTCCCCGACACTTGGCCGCTCCGTTTCTGTTCTCTGTCCTCTCAGATTGGACTTTTCTGTTCCAGTGTCTCCGTCCTCAACATCAAAGACACTCATTCACATTTGTTGATGATTAATCTCCCAGGTTTTGTGTCTTTTTGTTCCCTGCCCAGGATGAATCGTGGTTTCCTCCTCCTGGTGCTGCTGCTCTGGGCCCCCGGCCCCGGTGCCCTCGGCCAGTGTGACAAATCGTTTGAGAACAACAAACTCAACCTCTCAGTCAACTACCAGCTGCCAACCTTCACGGCAGACTTCCCCATTGAAAACCTGGTGACGCTGGACGGACAGATCTACGTGGGGGCGGTGAATCGAATCTACGCCCTGAACCCAGACCTGACCAAGCTCTCAGAGTACCACACGGGCCCGCTGTTCGCCAATGAGACCTGCGGTCAGACCCTGACCCAAACCACAGGCGGCGGCCGGGTGGACAACCACAACATTGCCCTAGTGGTGGAGACCATTTATGACAAGGGATTGTACAGCTGCGGCTCGGCGGACAACGGCGTGTGTCGACGTCACGTCCTGGATGAAGGCCATCTGCCAAAAACGGTAGACGAAGACGTCTCCTGCTTCGCTGACCGGGTTACCCTCGGCACCGGTCAACCCACCGGCCCAGACGTTGTGGTCGGCCCGTCGGGCGCTCAGGTGCTGAACGTGGAGACCAACCTCATCACGTTCTTTGTTGGCAACTCTGAGATCCCTGGGCTCGAAAACGTCAACAGACGTGAAACGTCGTCTCACACGCTGTCGGTGAGAAAGATGAGGACGAGTCAGAACGGCTTTGAGTTCTTCTCCAGCCAGTCCTACATGGACTTGATTCCGTCCCTGCGTGGGAACTACTACCTGCGCTACGTTCACTCTTTCAGCAGCGGACCTTTCACCTACTTCCTCACGGTGCAGAGGGTGAGCAGGGACTCTCAGACCTACCACACCCGCATCGTCCGAATGTGCTCCTCGGATCAGATGATACGCCGCTACATGGAGATGCCCCTCGAATGCATCAGCACCGATAAGAGGCGGCGGCGGCGGCGCTCCACGGAAGATGTGAAAGTCTTCAACATCCTGCAGGCGGCTCACGTCACCAAGGTGGGAAACGACGTGGAGCTCCAGAGGCTGTTGAGGGTGGAGGAGGGCGATGACGTGCTGTTCGCCGCCTTCGCTCGAGGAAAAGCCAACTCTCCGGAGCCGACTCCTAACTCGGCCGTCTGCATCATGTCCCTCAAACACATCAACGCCATGTTCAAGATGTACATGCAGAAATGCAACACAGTGGACCCGTATCACTTCACTGGATCGGATCAGAAGTCCTGCTACAACGCGGTAAGAACGTTTAACTAACTGAAAAATGTTTTTCATATTGAAAAAAAAGTACAGAACACATTAAACTTAGTTTTTTTTCTTTTTTCATTTTGTTGTTTAAATCAGTATCAATGCCTTTGTGGCTGCTCAGATGTGAAACGTGTGGTGGAACGTTCCAGGTTCAGGAATTAGTGACACAGTCTGCCTCTGTGCCTGCGCTCCAGGTGATCATGTAGAAACTGATTTTGTGTTTGCGGTTGTGACCACATGTGTATACTTCTTATATTTGATTTGCAACAGGATGAGACCTAGCCCTGACCCAGATCCTGGAACGATCCTAGGAATTTAACAGATAGTTTTCTCAGGAATCAGTTTCTTGGAGTTTTCTGGCCGTTTGTTTGTCGGACAAACTCAGTTTTGGAGAGTGAGAGAGTCTGGTTGTGCAGTGTCTCTGAGGTTGTCCTTGAGTGTCCTTGACTCAGACGTTGGAGCGCGACCTCTTCCTGTCTGGTTCCTCTGACCTTCCTTCTGTAGCGATCGTCACGTACGCGTGGCTGACTCTCAGTAACTGCTGCTGAGTGAACTGTTCCAACGGTCCAGATCAAGTTCTCCCTGTCCGACCGTGGAGAGTCCGGTCTCTAACACCAACACAGCAGTGGAATTTAATTGAAAGAATGACTTTGAGGTCACGCTCCAGACTTGGCATCAACCGACCTCTTTATTTCCTGTCACAGAAAATCCTCCTGAAAACCTCAAAGGATTTGCCACATCGTTACTGTAACTTTAAACTGTTTTGATCTCTGATCAAAAACACTTTTAATTTCACTTTCTGGAAGGATCACTGACAACGACACGTTATTTAAGTCTCATTTATTCTCTGTTCTTTGATGGCCTTGGCGTTCCTCCAAACTAAACCACTAGAACTGTATGCTGGTGATTTTTAGGACGCAGTGGTGGTCTGGTGGTTATGGATGCAGACTTGGTACCTGAGCGTCACAGGTTTGAATCTAACGATATGCCGTGCGTCAGTGACAATAATTCACTACTGAAAATAAAAAAGTTTTTTTTTTCAATATTTGGAATTGACAAAGCCTCGTCTCCCCTGGACTGATCGTGACTTTTCACTTCAAAGACCTGACGTCACTGCTGTGGTTGGACCGTGGCAGAGCTGACACACGTGAAAATCTTTACTGCAGTTGTTGTTCTCAGCAGCGGCTGTCGTTCTGTCTTTGCTCCGCCCTGATCCTGAGCTCCTCTTTACTGCCCTCTACCCTCCAATCCATCAACATTGACCTCAGCCCCCGATCAATAGTGAGGTGAAGTTAAGTGCCGACCCTCCTGACAGAGGCTGCGTCCATACATAAACACAGCAGGAGCTCCTCCCTCTGTGACTTCATCATCACTGAACCTCAGCATCGATCTGACTTTTTTTTTATCGGCCACTTGTTGCATCTCGTTTTTATTTGATTTCACTGTAAAAACAATCGCTGCAGGACTTGACTCACAAAAACCACAGGAGCTCCATCCACCATCACTGCTTCACTGTCTCACTCTTCTGTTTTTGTTTACCATATTTATCAGATATAAGTCGCAGTTTTTTTTCACCCTATGGCTCCTCGTGACATATATATTAAAATATGTAATTTTGCATGTTTGTTATTTTCACACTGACAGCCGCTAGAGGGCACTCCAGCTGCTGCGACTTATACTCCAGAGTCTTCTACGTTACTGCCTTTACTTTAATGCCTTATTTTGGACACAAAATATATAAATATATTTTTCTGTTTGTTATTGTTGGTCAGGGAGGACTATTATCAAGCAAGCTAACAACAAAACAACGTAGCTTTCAACCAAAGGATGGAAAAAAAACTGCGACTATAGTTCGGAAAAAACAGTACTGCTCAGATGCTAACAGCTAAAGGACCAGCCAGTGTTTTTCGTTTGTAATCAAGGGTTAAAACATGTAACATTGTTTTATCCCAAATAAACGTGTACGTAGTGCAGTATTAACATGAAATCTTCTGTGTACTTTTCAGGAGAGTACACACTGGTTTAAAGTATCGGCTTGAGTAACTGCGATCAATAAAACAGTAATTTTTTTTTACGTTCTTTCTTTGCCTGGACCAACACAGACGTTCATCCGTGGAGACAACTTTAATGAAGTGTCGATGACATCACACACACACGCGCTGATGTCATTTTTATGGCGTTAACATTCACGAGGTCAACACACAGTCCTGCAGCGCTGGATTAAAAAAAAAAACAAAAGTCCAATCTGCGTGGCAGAAATAGTCTCTGCTGTGCTACTTTTCAAAAACTGGAGCAGAAGGTACAAATTACTGCTACGTTTTTAGCCCAGAGCTACGTGGGAGCGTCTGGTTTCCTGCTGCCTCGTGCCAAAGCAGCGAGTTTTACCAGCGCTCGCCGTGGGAGTCGACTTCAGAGCTAATAAAGGCTCCTGAGCTGCGATGCTATGACTGGACCACTTTATTCTGTTTGCTTAACACGACCAACGTGGTCAACCGCAGCCGTGCCCTCGCTGGATCCATCTGTTCTCTGTCCATGGCATCAATTTCTGAACAACGGGAGTTCGACTCAAAAGAAAAAAAATGTTTCGTCCTTTTTTTCTTGAATTCTTAGATTTGAACCAACTTTTCGGGGCCTGGAGTTTGAGCTCGAAAAACTTGTTTGTTGGCTGTGCAAACAAGAGAAATCAAAAACCACGTCCAGTTGTCAGAGTAAATATGTAACTGACAAACATGGCCGCCTCGTCCGCGATCAGAGTTTGCGTTCGTGTGGAATCGTCACAGCGGGAAGACGACAACGAGGGACGACGACGTGTGGCTGCGCTCAGATAAACAGATCCAGAGCAGCTCAACAAATCCACGTCAACAGTCTCTGTGTGTGTGTGTGTGTGTGGCCCTCACATCTATCAGCAGTGGGGAGGGAGGGGGGCTGGGGGGGAATGTTCGGCGTTCCGTGGCAGCGCCGTGATGAACGGCCCGGGGATAACAGGGCATCAGCAGCTGGGTGGAAGACGATCCACTGCACACCCGCTGTGGCACTGCGCCACGTCTCCAGGGTTTCTGGTTAGATCCCCCGGCCCCCCCGCCCCCCCCACAGCACCTGTGGGAAAGTGGAGGACGGGTCGGCAGGTCGGCAGGTTGAACTCTCCGAGGTGTTGGATCTGGGTCCAGTCTTGTCACAGTGGACTGGGCTGCTGCCCGATCCCCCCTCCCCCCCGTGGGTCACTCCAGGACCTCCAGGACCTCCAGGCATTTCAAGGCCAAATTCTGAGGTGTACGTGTGACTGCAGCTGCCGTGGCTGTCGTCGTCTTCTCTTCCGTCTTCACTGATTGTAGCTAAACGTTTTTGCCGCTAACTGTTAGCAAACAGACGGACAAACGGTTTGGAGTGTGATCCAAAAAAAAACAGTTCTCCAAATCAGTGCTGCTGTGACGAGCCCTGAAGAAGGGACAGACTGACGGGGATTTATTTTTATCATCATTGAAACATTAACATCTCGGGACTCGAACCTCTTCCACAGATGTGCAGCTCCACGGTGAGGTCACGGTTCAGGAACTCCTCCAACAGTCAGCTCTGCCTTCACTGATCTGCAGGAATGGATGTCACATAAACACGCTGGTCATAAAAATAAATGTTTTCCAATTTTTCTTCGTCAGGTGAACGAGGCCGTTTATTGAATCGTAAAACACTTTTCTGCCAGAAAACTGAAAGACATTTACTGTTGATTGAATCGTAAAACACTTTTCTGCCAGAAAACTGAAAGACATTTCCTGTTGTGTTTTATTCTTTTACTGCCGACAGTCTCGACGTGTTTTCTCTTGTCCTGAACTTCCAGGTTAGAAAAACAGGCGTCTGTGGAACAATGGTCCGTCTGAAGGCCATCATTAACCTGGTGGACAGATGGGCGTCTTTGACCCAGAGACAGGTGGACACGGGGACAGATTACAGCTGCCGTATAGTCATAAAACCTCAGGCAGGTGTAGACGCTGGTCAAACAAGGCCAGCCTGTAGGGGGCAGAGCTGCAGAGGTTGGAGGGTTGTTGGAGGTGAAGGATCACAGAGAAGATGTTTGGAAGAGGTTCTCAAACTGAGAGAGAGTAAGGATCAAGTACTTAGGAGTACTTAGGAGTACTTCTTGGAGCTAATACGTAGTATTGGTAATTATTAACAACTGTGACGTGTTTTTCTGGATATTTGGTCCAACTGTTGGTCCAAGTGTCAGGAGGGTGGAGGTGCCGGGTGAAGTCCACTGCTGCCCTGACGTCGATCATCAGGTTACCATCGATCTGAGAGCAGACACTGACGGCTGATTGGTTCTAAATTGAATCTCAGGCCTGATTGATTAGTGTGTGTGTGTGTGTGTGTGTAATATAATTCAGGCAGACAATTCTGAGCCACAGTCATTTTAATTAACCCCCCCCCACTCCCATACCCCCCCTCCCTTTTAATGAACGTTGCCTTGAAGCAGTGAGTGTGGACGTTTGGTCGTCAGGAAGAAAAACAGACAAATCAGTCAAATGATGTACCCCCCCCCCACTCCCATACCCCCCCTCCCTTTTAATGAACGTTGCCTTGAAGCAGTGAGTGTGGACGTTTGGTCGTCGTGAAGAAAAACAGACAAATCAGTCAAATGATGTAGATGTAGATGTAATAGATTACAGTGACGCCTTTACTGTCCTAGAAAAAAGACATTATTGCAAAAGATTGGAGACTTGACAGGAGTTTCTGTATGCAGATTGTCCACCTAGTGGTGAGAAGCTGCAACCAATAATGTGGATGGATGATGGATGGATGATGGATGGATGGATTTCCTGTCACAGAAAAACCAAAATGTTGATCTGTTTAGTTTTGCTTCCAAAATAACGTCCCAGTAAAAACAGTGGACTTGATGAATGAAGTCAGAGGTCAGGGGTCAGAGGTCAGAGGTCTTGATAGTTCCTCTCCTCCTCCTATGAACTGCTGCTGGTATGAACTGCTGCTGGTTCCTCTGAGCT